AGAAAGGCCACAGGTAGACAATGAATGGCCCCTCCCAGAGGGAATAAAAGAGGAGCGAAAGGGGAGGGGAGTTTGCAGGAGGCAATTAGTTCGCTTAATTGGTTTGTGACTCTCCCAAAGTCACAAAACCTTGCCAAGTTTTGCAGATCTCGGCCTGGCAGCTCTCCAAGCCAGATAAGGTCTGTGACTGTAAATCCTCCCTTGAAAGGCTTTGCTGGATGTGAATGAGCAGAATTCACAGTCAATGAATAAAAGGGGTTTTTGTCAGGACCAGGAATTTGCTTCATGCTCTCGGGAAGCCTCGGACAGAATATCTCCTCCTCCAAGAAGCTTCTTCAGAACTTCTTGGGTGGGAAATGAAAAGGAAAAAACAAAGTACAATTGCCTTTGAAATAAAAATCAGCTTTGGGACATACATGGAGCATCTTCTCAGAAGATTAAAGCTCCCTGCCTTACTCAACCCAGCCTATTAACATGTCTATATTCCTTTTTCCCCCCCTTCCTCTCTCCATCCCCCACCAGGAAACGACTCCATTTTTCACGACATCGACAGCGACACCTCTTTAACGAGCTTGAGTGACTGTTTCTTGGCTTCCTCGGAAGTAAACTCCATGCAAGCCAGGATAGGAAACCCCATTGATAGGCTGTATTCTATGCAGAGCTCCTACTTCGCCTCATGAAAAGCGACTGGCAGGGAAACCAGCCCAGCTCTTCTGAACTTCTTTCCTGAACCGATTGTCCGCAAGGAGCTCCTTCCCGGTTTCCAGCTGGAAAAAAAAAAAACCACACACAAACACAAACACAAACACAAAGAACTTCATACAGCCATATTTCCCTTGTTTTCCTCCACCCTGATACTGGTCCCCTTGGAGCATTGAATTAAGGAGGCCTCTGAGAAACAGACAGGCCAGGAATCCTCAGCCAGAAGGACAAAACGACCAGGCGTCGCTCTCAAAAATCGCCAAGGTGGGACCAAGGAAACGCCGATGCCCCTGTGGTTAGTTTCTCCTCGAACCCCATCATGGTGGTGGCAACACACTTGGGGACCTCTTCCAACAGTGCGGTGTTTTCTCCAGGCTGCCCTCTCGCCCCCCCTCTGAATGCAAAGTTGGTCCAAGCTGAAGAAAGAAATTGGGACTGTCCCAATTTTGTTCTGCATGCTACATCTCCCGCCACAGACTGAAAACCCTCAGGGCTACGAGATGTTTTTGACAGAGCTGTGATTCCTATATAGGGATGTCCCTATTTCCCCCTCGGCTATTCTTTTTTCTTTCTTTTCCTCTCCATCAAACCAAATGGACCGCCCCCCGCCCCCAAAAAAGCCCTGTAATCTCTGGGGCCATTAAGTTATAGTCGCTGCACTTCCTGGAAATGGGATGGGGGGGAGGAGTGGGAGGAGAGAAGGGAGAGGGGAAATCCCCAGAAAATAAAAAGAGGAATGCAAAGAGAAATCGTCATCGTGATGACATTTCTTGGAGGGGAAGAGAAAGAGTAAGAAAAAAAGATGCTGAACAAGGGGAGGCAAACTTAGATGGGTTGCAATTACACCTTTACCTGAAAAAAAGCAATTTGATAAAAGGTAGGGCCAGAGATATTCTGGGACACCTGATTTTGATTTCAGGTTGTTCGCCATTCTGGGTGTGTTAAAACATTTTTTTTAAATAAGGGTGAAGGAATTCAGTGCCAAATTTCATATCTACCCACCTAACCCTTGTTTCTCTTAGCTTTGATTGACAGTCATCTGTTGGTGATTCCTATTTGTTTATACTGATTTGACAGCGATACCCCCACAGATCCTTGCTTCGGGGATCATGTTAATTAGAGCTGACTTTAGTTTGGGATCTTTCTCCCCCGCCCCCCTCAACGGGGTTAGAAGAAACCCCTTTCCTCCCCACCACCACCACTTATCCATCGTGTAATTTCAAAAAGCAAGCAGGGATGGCATTCTGTAAAGCTTTACTCATAGTGGGCACTGCTGATCCCCAAGTGGTTCCATTATTCCCCCCTGCCCATGGACCAGTTGCTACCTTGTTTCCCCGAAAATAAGACCCCTCCCAGATAATAAACCCAATCGGGGTTTTGAGCGCTTGCGTTAAAATAAGCCCTCCCCGAAAATATTGGAGCAGCAGCAGCCACGAGGTGACCACGCTCGCCGCCTCCTGCACCTCAAAAATAATAAGACCTCCCCGAAAATAAGGCCAAGCGCTTATTTTGGGGATTAAAAACAATAAGACCCAGTCTTATTTTTGGGAAAACACGGTAGTACAAATTAAACCTTGGCAGATGCGAAGATGTGAAACCCATTTTAGGATGCTTACCACTAAGAGTGCCAGGGAAATTCCACGTTTGGTGACTGGTTAGATCAGAGGGTAAGCTAACATGGGGCCATTGAGAAGTATGCTGAGAAGGAAAAGGGGATGGATCTGGGGATTTGATTTGATTTAAATTATATTTCAAGGGTAAAAAAAAACAAGTCAGTGAATTGAATATCATGGATACCCACGTATTTTGCATTTCACGACTTCCGCCCGGTTTAAATTGCAGTGGGCGAAGGCTTGATTAGAAGCGTCTTCCAAACCATTCTTGGTCCACCAGTTTTCCATCGTCTCATTGCCCTTTCTTCCCGGGTTCCAGATGTTTTGGTCTACATGCTCCCATCAACCTCAGGTAGTTTAGCTCAAGCTCCTACCAGGTGTGATTGCCCTCAAGTCTCATGGTTGGTTTTTATTATATTTTTCATTGTCCGTTTTGGGGAAACGTAAACTGGAGACAACGCTTAACCTCATGTCCTGCTTAGGGACTTCTAGAAGTATCTGCTCAGCTACCCTGGGAATGTATTGGGGATAGACTAGATGGCCCCCACGTTCTGCAGAACTTTGATATAATGGTTTTTTTCTAACGTTCATAAAACAAATTAGGGATAAGCTTCACCCATGTACACGCCTCTGGAGTTGATCAGCCTTTGTCAATTTGGAGGCTGTTCGAGATGTGTGGATTTTAATTCACTAGCATTCTCCAACCATTGTTGAAGTGTTGAATTCCACATACCTTAATGGTATCCGGATCCGAGAAAGGCTGGATTAGGGGGAAACTTGAGCTTCGTTGCTGAAATTTCATAGCCATAGCTGAAAATTTTGGGAATCAAGATCCCAAAACCTCAAGTTTAGGGAAAACTGACTTAGAGACTTATTTTGAGTATTTGTTGGCAAGTCCAGTGCTCACGTAAGCGTAGATCTATATAAGCAGTGGTAGGATTCAAATAATTTAGCAACCGGTTCTCTGCCCTAATGACCAGCTGGATAGGCGTGGCTCGGTGGTCATGTCACTGGGTGGATTTGGCCAATTCAATGTCACTCACGTTGATGGGCGCTTCACCTTAGCTGTTACAATGTACTAAGGGTTAACCGGAGAGGCAGCTTCTGTAAGCAGGGCAATAAAGATTAGGCTAGAAACAACACCAGAATGTTTCCTTCCTGCCTTCCTTACAGGATTAGCCCTGTAAAGTGGGGAAAAAAACTAAAGGAGATTTTTTCCAACAACCGATTCTCCCAACTGCTTAGAAAGTTAACAACCGGTTCTCCCCGAATAGGTGCAAAGTGGCTGAATCCCACCACTG